TCAATATCTCCCCTCCCCCAATTCTCCCTAAAGAGCACCAGGGGGTGGAGCTCAAAGCTAGGGTAGTTCTGGATGGGAGCAGGGGAACAACTCCAGCCAGCCCCCCTTTCACCAGTCTGGTGATTCTGTCTCTTTTCTGTCTAGTTTTCTGAGAAGCAATCCCATTCCAGGCACATCCCATTGTCCTGGCACTACCAAACTCTGACCTGGCTTTAAGTTAGGAGAAGAGGAAGCTACCTACCGAATTCGGCGATCCTACCTCTTACTGTTTAGGAGAAGTTCTTGAACCAGCAGACAGACAGAAACTCACTCAGATATGTAGTAGATTATATTTTACATAACAGGTGCACAGGAAGGGATGTGTGAGAGGGAGGGGAACCTAACATCACAGCGAAACTGGTCACAGCGAATTCACAAGGGAGTCTGTGCTGCTGCTGTGCGTTTGGGGGATGATAGCTCGTTTGCGTAGGAGTCATAACGGGTTCCCATGTAGTGGCTGACACTAGGGGTAACTCCACGCTCTTCTCTCTCCCCTTATATGTAGATCGGCCTTTCTTGATGCAAGAGCCTTCTCCGATGCAGCTGTGCTCCACCAGGGCAGCCATCCTACCTCCTCCCACGCAGATCCAGGCCTCTCTCTGAGATCTATGATGTACCTTCCTAGTGCCATAAAGCCACTTTGCACGCTACAAAACGGAGGCTCCTTTTGCACACTGCTCCTGCGCGTTCGAAGCCGAGGGAGAAAAGGGTGCTCTGTGGCTAGCAGGACTGGGTGCTCAAGCTGAACTGGAAGACACCTGCCAACTGGTGGGGATGCTGGGGGCATTTTGCATGTGAGATGAAGTATTGGACCCTCTCTTCTCTGTCAGAGCACGCAGCTTGGAAGAGCTGGAAATGCACGAGGCCCAAGACTGTGCAGGAAGCACTGCTTGGCTGTGGGGACCACAACTGCCCTTGGGAGACAGGGGTCCTTTTGGAAGCACAGCTGTGGTAGTTGGAGAAGATGTGAAGGGTTGTCAGTTAACAGGGGAAGGAAGGCTTGACAGATACCAGTGATGGGGTTGGGCTTGTGTGCTGGCCACTGAAGATAATGCCTACCACAGCAGGTGGCTGTCAGCCTGATTGCCACTGGGTGTGCTAGGGTGATTAACCTGCAGAACTCCCAGTGGTGGGATATTAACTGAGGTTAGCCTGTGGAACACCCTGCTGCAGGAAATTAACTAAGGTTACCCTGTAGAACTCCCCCTGTAGAACCATGTCTCAGGTTAAACTTGCTGCAGGATATTAACTAGTTCTGATCAACCCCCACAATTCTATTCTTG